TCTAAAGCCTGCCTGGTTCTCTTGTGTTTGTTCCTCCCGAGCACCGCTTAGTCTATGCATGACTATCGAGCCTAGGACTTTATATACCATATTTATCAAACTAATCCCCCTGTGATTATCACAGGAAGACTTGTGTCCTTTCTTGTATGTCGGGATAATCAATGACTCACATGAGCCTGGCGGGAATATCACCGATTCCCAGGCACTGACTAATGCCTTAGATAACTTAGATGGTAAACTGTCTCCACCGTCCTTGAACACTTCTGGAATCATTCCATCAGGTCGTGCTGCTTTGCCTCGTTTCAGACTAGTGACAGCTTTTGTAATTGGGATCTAAGAGACAAATACAGTTTTTTTTAACACCTACATATGTGAACATTATTTTGGCTTTGAGTCTGACTAGTTATTTCGCCTTTTTTTAAATGTGCAATCAGAATCCATCTGTTTGATACTACTGTTAGGTTAACATGGTATGAAAATGAAGAGTTTTTGTAATTTTAGTGTATTTTTTATTTTGCATAATACCCTTGGAGCCTTAAAAGCTAGGGCTAGTTTCGCATATGCCAGTTTACGCCGTCTCTGGTGTAGACGGCTATCGAGCAGAAGGCGGGTGTACTGCTCAGCAGTCCGATCCGTCCTCCTTTATTGTTGTCACAGATATCTGGTCATTGAGAGTGGAAGACACGAAAAGCCAGGCTAGCTGTGTTTGAACATAGGGGTGTGCGTTCTATCTCCTGTATGAAGTGGTATAATGAGGTAAGCAATACTGAGGTTAGGCATTGGTGGTCAAGTGCTAGGTAGGTGAGAGGGGAAAACAATAGACGAGGCTGTGAAATTATATCGACTGAGATGGTTAGGACATGTGTTACGTATGCCTAGCCATCGTCTTTCACGCCTGACGGGCAATGTTAGCTGACATAGGGTCAGACTGGAAAAGAGCTAGCGGTGGTCAAACCAAAACATGGGACCAGTCAATGAAATCTACAACAGTTAGTTTAAGCCACGTAGGAAGGTGTAGACTTCTTGACTGGTTGGGGTCCTCGGGACGGTAAACACTAATCACCGGCGGGAGATAATTTGTGATATGGCTCAAAGTTGTTCTGAATGATGGCTGGCGCAGATACATCGACTCCTTGTGACCTATGATTTCCAATTAAACTGTTTTGTTCTTCGTTATTACTATTCCTTTTGTCTCATATCTCTGTCTACTGTCTCTATTTTGCATTTCTTCTACTTTCTTCTCTTGCTTTGTGTGCTACAAGGGGGGAGTGTGGCGACTTGAACTGCTGCATATCGGTGCAAAGTTCTATGTCGAAAACAGACAGACAGGAGCCTTAAAAGCATTCACTATACCAGCCTTCTTTTGTTAACTGGTACATGTGATGTAATACTTGAAGGGAGTTAGTTTTAGTCTTCGTAATTTTTTCCCTTCTATCATGAATTCACACAGGAGAAAAGACTATTGATTCTCTTTCTCGTGACATTGCATACATACATGTGATAGAATGAGTAATATTCAATTGAAATGTAGTATTTTGATAAGAACAGTGAATTAATAGTTGAGGTTGTAGATTTTTATTGATCGAGTTGGCTAGGAAATGCATGTATTATGTATGCATGCCGAGTTATCTTTTTTTTCTCTGGACTAAAAGAATGTTAATGGAATCAATAATTAGGCCATTAAATGGCCAATAAATTTCATCGTATATGTACTAATGGACTTAACCCTAACTGATTTCAGTGACTCAGGAGTTGACTTGTTAGCAGGATATGAATAATCTCGTTGACTTAGAATGTGCAGGTAATACAGTCCTCCCTCTTGGGTAAAAACGCTGACAAAATAGAGTAAAGTCTTCTGAACACCTTGAGCAGTGAGAAATCTTCAAATGTTTGGCATGCGAGCGATTGGCTCCTGCTGTGAAATGTAAGATGATACTTGCTATAGGACTGGACTGGACTACATGGACTCACTCCTAGCTTAGATATAAGGAGAGGTAGTGAAGTTGTTGTGTGGAGCTTGTTGACCACTTCATTTATTTTTTGGGGGGGGGGAGGAGAGCAGTTGCATCAGCGGGTTGGTCGCTAACTAAATCTCAGCACAGATACACAAGGCATGTTTGCCATATACCAACATACGCCATCTCTCTCTCTCTGTGACTTAGTAGACGTGATAACCGGCTGGATGGTTATCGCGCAAAGGAATTGTGTACAGCTCACCAGCACTTCGCTCCATCCTCCTTTATGGCTGGCTGGCTGGCTGTGAGACATGGCCACTGAGTTGGACAGGTAGAAAGCTTAACTACCTAGCTAGCTGTCTCAGACCATAGTTGCCTGAATTCTGTCACTCGTGTGTGTTAGGTGGTGGTTGTTGTATAATAAGGTGAGCAGTATTGAGGTTAGGCTAGCCATCCATGGTCGGGTGCTATGTAGGTGTAGGTTAGGTAAGGAGGGGAAATCAATCGACGAGGTGGTTGTGAAGCTACACTACTACATCGATTGAGAGAGATGGTTAGGACATGTGTTACGCATACCACTATGTAATGCCATCGACCGCCCTCCTCGATGACGGGCAATGTCAGCTGACTGATATAGGGTGATTGCTGGAAAGAGTCAACTAGTAGTAGACAAGCTATAGCTCAAACATGGCTTCATCAGTCAATGAAATGCACAAGAGAGTTAGTTTAAGCCAGCCAGTCACGTCAGGAGGTGTAAACTGCGTGGCTGGCTGGTTGCGGTCTTGAGAATAATAAAAACGGATGGTGGCTGGAGACATTGTGAATAGTTGTCACAGATGCATTCACTCTTTGTGATTTATAATATCCAGTAAAATTCTATTGTTCTTCCGTGTTACTATTCTTTGTCCCTCACTCACACTTCTGTTTATTAACTCTCTCTTTTAATTCTCTCATTACCCTCTTCTCTTCTTTTTCGTGTGTCCATTGGAACTGTTGCACATCTGTGTAAAGTTCTACGTAGAAACCAGTCAGTCAGATAGGTTTTCCGATAATCAAAATAAGCAGGCTAAATGTTTCTATTAAGTTATATATATATATGCATATACATATATAAACGAAATTACGTAATGTAGAAAGTGTTATTCGGAAATGGAAATTAAATAGTTGAGTGGCGTAATATAATTGACGGGTTTAAGTAGACCTCAACTAAAATTTACATTGGACAGAAGTTAAGGTAACTACTGTGGTGCTAACGGTTGGCGGAAGAAAATTTTATACAATTAAGAATCGAACAAACAAGAGAAAGACAAAACAAAAAATTACGTATTCGGTGTTAAGATAGGTCAAATGCACTGTAGATTTAATGACTGTACAAACTTCTCTTGTTTGCAGAGTTCAGGATTTAACATGCGAATTGCCATCGGTTCTGAGGTTTCTGGAAGTTTGATTCGTGCTCTTTTAGGTAGATTCCCATGCATTCTGTTGGTAACTTTAAAGTTCGTTTGTGGGTTAGCTTGGTGTCCAGATTCGATCAGGTGTTCCAGGATAGAGCTTTAGTGGTGATGGTGTTGTATCTATTTTCTTCTTTATAAAACCATGACTGTTGGGCAGGTGTATGATCATATGTTTGGATAGCAAACGTTGGTTACGGCCAATATACTTAGCTCCACATAAAGAGGTACATTGGTAGATGCACACTGATGAGGCCAGCCAACAGTGGTAGCTTATCCTTCACATTCATGCGAATCATTAGTTTCTTAGAGAAAGTTTTTCGAAGTTCAGTCGTGAGATGAGCGTTTTCTTCAGTGTGTGTGTGTGACAAACGGTTTCCTAGTATTTCTGCTGATGAGTCTCCGTTGAAATATAGATTCAAGTAGAAAGCGTTTTTATTGCGGGCAGAAAGTGGATTTCGTGATGAAACGTTCTGGATAGCCCTTTTTTACGAGGAGGATTCTTTTCAGAGTGTTCAGCTGCTCTTCTTCCATAGTGTCAGGGTTGCAAAATCTATGAATTCTTTGGCTCTAAGTGCACAGATCAAGTTTTGTTTTGTTTACAGAGGCATCAAACTATGAAAGTTAGTGAGTAGTTGTCCGTTCCATGTCGGCTTTCCATCAATGGTTCTCTTTCGCATACGCCAGTTTACGCCGTCTCTTGCGTAAACGTGATATCCGAATATCGACCAAAGGGCAGGTGTACTGCTCAGCAGTCCACTCCGTCCTCCTTCATGGCTGTGACTGAGATTTGGCCATTGAGAGTGGAAAACATGAAAAGCCTGGCTAGCTGTCTTTGATCATAGGTGTGTGCGTTCTATCTCCCGTGTGAAGTGGTATAATAAGGTAAGCAATACTGAGGTTAGGCGTTGAGTGCTAGGTAGGTGGGAGGGGAAATCAATCGACGAGGCTGTGAAGTTACATCGACTGAGATGGTTCGGACATGTGTTACGTATGCCTAGTTATCGCCTTCCTCGATGACGGGCAATGTTAGCTGACATAGGGTCAGACTGGAAAAGAGCTAGTGGTGGTCTAACCAAAACATGGCACCAGTCAATGAAATCTACAACAGTTAGTCTAGGCCACATAGGAATGTGTAGACGTCCTGGTTGGGGTCCTCGGTACGATAAAAACCAATGGTTGGAAACAATAGATGATATTGATCAAAATCGTTCTCAATGATGACTGGTGCAGATGCATCCACTCCTTGTGACTTATGATTTCCAATTAAACTGTTTTGTTCTTCGTTATTACTATTCCTTTGTCTCACACCTCTGTTTACTGTCTATATTATGCATTACTCCTACTTTCTTCTCTTGCTTTGTGTGCTACAAGGGGGGAGTGTGGCGACTTGAACTGCTGCATATCGGTGCAGAGGTCTATGTCGAAAACAGACAGACAGTGTTCCATCTTATTAACGCCTAGTTAATTGCTTAATTAATCTTACTATTGTTGTTTATACAGGAGAAAATAATTCTTATTGCTTATTTTTCTTCTATTCCACATCATAAGTTTAAATTCATTGTGTTTAATTGTGTGTTTTTTTTTTCTCTAGATCAACAACTGCACAAATGGTTATCTGTGCATTACTCGATCGATTTGGTATACGTGATAATCCTCAAAAGTTTGCTTTATATGAACATACAATTGAAGGTGATCAAAAAGGTTAGTGGTGTATAAAGAATGATGTGATGTGCACATACTATTATTGAAGTCCATTGAATGAACATTTCTACTAGTGTGTGTAATAGACAAATTATATGTATGATACTGTTACATATTACTTTCATTTAATTGTTAGTAGTAGTTTGTGGTATTGCTAGCTTGATGATGAAGTAAAGAGAGGTGTTTGCTGTTATTGTCTTGAGTGTAATTAATATATGTGTATATACATATATATATACATATATATATATACATATATATATATATATACATATATATATAGGTTTTGTAGGGATTTTGTTTGATTGTATGGAGGATTTCATCATGAGCGCGAATTGGCAGAAGTTAGAATTCAAGGACCATTGGATCAAGTCCCAGTGGCTCAATTATCTACGAGCTCTCCTTGTAACCAGAAGGTCCTGGGGTTCGAATCCCGGTGGGTGCGTGCTGCTGAAGAATCCCAAACTAGGACGAAACAGCTGTCCAGTACTCCCAGCTGGTTTTCCAGTGGTTCTCTAACTGATGTCAGCTCATGATGAAATCCTCCATGCAATATATATATGTATATATCACACAGTGAGTGAAACAGTATTATTGTTATTTACTGGATGACGACGCCTTTCGAAGACAATTTACTTTATTGCTGCTCATAATCATTTCATCAATTTTATAATCACACAACTTCGAAACTTCCGTTTTATAGTTTTCTTTATTCTTTATTCTCTTCTATTCGTCGGCGTGGAGGGGGTGGTAGTAGAATTCTCCAGATGTCTGACTGGACAGGTGCTCAATCATTCCTATTACACCTATTCTCTTCGGTTGATTCGATAAATAAAGCTTTAGTTATCATTCTCTCCCTCCACCCTGTTACTTGTATTAGATTTTAAAAGTGTCATCTCATTCCATCCATAACAATGTTTGTGTGTAATTGCATGAGGTGTAGTGCTATAGCTGAACTACACTCCAGATTTCTTATTTTAGTGTTGGGTTAACTAATCTAGATTTTGCTGTTAGGCTCTTGTGCTCCGTTGGACTGACTGACTGGTCGCGTTCTACTACTTTGATCCATGTATTTGACTTGATAATCAGCGCAGCCAGCGTGTTAGATAGACTAAATTGTTTTGTTTAATTGGCTCTACAAGAGTTATCCTTCAACCATCAAAGCTTGTCGTGCGTGTCGTCATTGACATTATTATTGTTGTCACTTTGATTGAGATGGTTAGGACATGCTTTACGCATACCACTGAGCCATCGATCGCCTTCCTCGATGACGGGCAATGTTAGTTAGCTGACATAGAGTGTGGATGAGGTTGGAAAAGAGTTATTAGGTTAGGTAGTGGTGGTCAAATGAAAACATGAACTCATCAGTCAGTGAAATCCACAGGACAGTTAGTTAGTTTAAGCCAATCAGTCAGCCACGTCTGGAGTTGTAAACTGATTGGCTGTTTGGTTGGGATCCTCGGGATGGTAAACACCATTGTCTACTGGATACAATTGGTGATATGGCTCAACATCGTTGTCAATAGCTGATGGAGATGCATTCAGTCTTTGTGATTTATCATATCCAATAAAACTCTATTATTCTTCCATATTACTAGTTTTTTTCCCTCACTCACACTTTCGTATATTATCTCTGTCTTGAATCTCTCTCGCTGTACTCTCTTCTCTTGCTTTGTGTGGCACAAGGAGGGAGTATGTCAAGTGGAACTGGTGCCAATCAATGCAAAGTTCTACTTTGAAACCAGTGTTTCAGTCAGGTAACAGCATATTGATAGTAACGCACGTGTACTACGTATGCCGACAGTCATTCGATATGACTAACAATGGTAACCGTATCGTTCAACTTTTACCTCTACTCAAACTCACGTAGCCGTGTAAGGGCTTATGGGGAATTGTCATCTGAATTGATAACAACCAGTGGTGTCCGTCAAGGATGTCCACTTTCCCCGTTTCTGTTTAACTTCATCATAGATATGCTAATGGAAGTATCCTTAACTGAACTTAACGACTTAGGAATCGACTTGTTACCAGGGAATAGTCTTATGGACTTAGAATATGCAGACGACATAGTCCTGTTAGGGGAGGATGCTGACAAAATGCAGAGTCTTCTGAACACCTTGAGCAGCAATCTTCGTATGTTTGGCATGCGATTCGCCCCTGTAAAATGTAAGATGCTGCTACAGGAATGACTGGACTACGTCAACTCCTAGCTTCGTGATAAGGAGTGAAGTGATAGAACATGTTGACCACTTCACCTATTTGGGAAGTTGTATCAGCACCAATGGATTGATTGGTGACGAAATCTCAGCACGGATCCAAAAAGCTCGAGCTGCTTTCGCTAACTTACACCGTCTCTGGCGTAGGCGTGACATCCGGCTATCAACCAAGGGACGTGTGTACTGCTCAGCAGTTCGCTCCGTCCTTCTCTATGGCTCTGAAACATGGCCAATACGAGTTGAAGACATGAAAAGGTTGACTGTTTTTGATCATAGATGTCTACGATCTCTTTCTCACGTTAGGTGGTATAATAAGGTAAGTAATGTTGACGTTAGGCGTAGAGTGTTGGGCAAAGAGGGAAAATCAATCGAAGAGGCTATAAAGTTACATAGATTGAGATGGCTAGGTGACGTGCTGCGCATGCCTAACCATCGCCTCCCCTGACGGGCATTACTAGCTGATATAGGTGCAGGTTGGAAAAGAGTAAGTGGTGGCCAAACAAAAACATGGCCTCATCAATCCATGAAATCCTTGACAGTTAAACTGAGTCAGGTAGGGAGGGAGATGCAGACTTCCGGGTTGGGGCCCGCCCTAGGGACTCTAAGAATCAATGGCTGGAGACAATAGGTGACATGGCTCAAAATCGTTGTCAATGGCTTACGCAGATGTATTCAGTCTCTGTAATCTTTCATATTCCTTTCTACCATTACTCATTCTGTTTCACTCTTATACTTGTCAAAACTCTATTGATTCTCTTCATCACTCATTTTCTTGTCTACCTTTGTGTGCTATTTGGAACGTGGCAACTCGAACTGCTGCACTTCGGTGCCAAGTTCTATGTTGAATCCAGCAGCAGCAGCAACTTTTACCTCATCAATGTATGGTACAGAAAACATGCATGTTATGAATTATCTCAGAAGAAAAGTATCTGAGGTGAGAAATATTCGGCTGGGATTCACTTACTGGACAGAAGAACTACCCCTGGTGAACTAGTTGAATTTACTACTTTTTTGTAACTAGAAAGGTCCAATTTACTTCCTAATTGTCTTATATTTTTTCTTCTTGTACATGTTTAATATGCTGTTCTAAGGGTTGTTTTTCTATCGTGTTTTTGTCTGTTTGTATGCGTGCGTGCGTGTGTATATCCAGGTGGGGATACAATATATATGTGGCTAAATAGTCTTGTATAAAAACCTTTCGATCCTTGAATATTAAACTATTCTGTCGACCTAAATTGTGCCACAATTATATGTTTTAAAAAAGAAAGAATTATGCCTGATACCTTAAAGGTTACACATTGTTTTGGTTTTCGTTTTATGCTTGTTGGTTTCTGTGTGTACATGCTCCTGCATGTATTTGTGTGTGTGTAGTGTGTACTGGATTCTGTATTCCTTAACCGTTTACAGTACTGCTGTCAATTCACTGTTTAGGTTAAAGGAGTAATTAAGCCACATTTTTACTTTTGTATTTTTGGCCTCTCATTGAAGTTCGTATAAATGGTTAAGTGATTGAATTTATTCCTAAAATATTATTTTATAGTAGTTGTTGTATAGATATATATCTGCCTGTTATTCGTAGGCTTTTCAAAATAAAGTAGTAAGCATGTTGTAATAAGGAAGGGATCAATTTTCAGCTATGTCTGTGGCGTAGACGTGATATCCGGCTATCGACTAAGGGATGTGTGTACTGCTTAGCGGTCCGCTCCATCCTCCTTTATGGCTGTGACTGAGATCTGGCCATTGAGAGTGGAAGACATAAAAAGCCTGGCTGGCTAGCTGTCTTTGGTCATAGGTGCCTGCATTCTATCTCCCGTGTGATGTGGTATAATGAGATAAGCAATAATGAGGTTAGGCATCGAGTGCTAGGTAGGTGGGAGGGGAAATCAATCGACGAGACTATGAAGCTACATCGACTGAGATGGTTAGGACATGTGTTACATATACCTAGTCATGATCTTCCTCGACAAAGGGCAATGTTAGCTGACATAGGCTCAGGTTGGAAAACAGCCAGTGGCGGTCAAACCAAAACATGGCTTCAACAATCAATGAAATCCACAACAGTCAGTTTAAGCCAGTCACGTAGGAAGGTGTAGACTTCTTGACTGGTTGGGGTCCTCAGGATGGTAATAAGCAAAGATGGCTGGAGACAATTAGTGATATGGCTCAAAATCGTCGTTGTCAATGGCTGTCGCAGATGCATCCACTCCTTGTGACTTATAATACCCAATGAAACTATATTGTTCTTCGTTATTACTATTCCTTTCGTCTCATATCCCTGTCTACTGTCTCTATTATGCATTTCTTCTACTTTCTTCTCTTGCTTTGTGTGCTACAATGAGGGAGTGTGGCAAATTGAACTTCTGCACATTGGTGCAAAGTTCTATGTTGAAAACAGACAGACAGACAGGATGAATGAATGATTAGGTATGTGGTGGCTATGAATGTGTACGCTGTTGGAGAGTTACAAACAGCTGTGTAATGATTTTTGATTTTTTCCCTTGTTTCTTTGGCTTATTCTGATCGATTGTGGAACTTATCTTTTAAAATCAGTCATTAGATGGTTGGAGGCAATGGGCTACAGGAAACCTTGCTGGGACCTAACTAGGTTTCGTGCTAGTTGGCACTCACCACCAGTCAGTCAGCAAGTCGGTGTATCTGCAAACTTGAAGTAACCCATGTCCGTTCTGAGTTTCGGATCCGCGTCACCACGTAGTGCTGTCTGCAATCAGAGTCGTTATCCCTAAGCTATTCGGTTGCAAATATGCCTTGCTGATGAGTGCCAAC